TTAACACTGTAGAAAATAACAACAAAAAAAGAAAAAATCTAGAGGCAGACATTTTTTTTAATAAGGCTAAAAATGTTGAAGTTTGCAGAGTTTGTTAACATGAACAATTAGTCCAAAAAAATAAACTGAACTCAATAAAAAATAATGAGTTAAATATTGTTTTCACCAGATAACAATATATTATAGATTTTTCTTGACAAATATTACTTTATTTACTCATTACTATCATTATTTGTGCTTATGTGATTATGCAAGTGTTATGTGCGGATAACAATTCACTTGTTTGCCTAAAACTAAGTGTACAACTGATAGCATGAGTTACTGTTCGTAAGGTTTCTCATTATATATCAGGCGACTTGGGGATCATAGAGCAATGTAATTTAAATTGAAAATTAAAAGGTTAAACAAATTAACTTAACTTCAAGATTGTGTCTTACTAGAATCAATAATTATATTACAAATGTGAAAAATATAACATATAAAAGATAAAATGTTTTATAATTTAAGCTAATTATTTTATAATTCTTTGGAAAAGTTAGAGAGCTGGTGAAGAGAGAGGTGAGCCAAAAAACAAAGCTCTCAATTTACCAATCGATCTACATTCCTACCCTCATCTATGGTCATAAGCTTTGGGTCATGACCGAAAGAATGAGATACAAGCGGCTGAAATGAGTTTTCTCCGTAGTGTGTCTGGGCTCTCCCTTAGAGATAGGGTGAGGAGCTCAGTCATCCGGGGAGGACTCAGAGTAGAGCTCCTCCACATCGAGAGGAGCCAGTTGAGGTGGCTCGGGCATCTGGTTAGGATGCCTCCTGGACGTCTCCCTGGTGAGGTGTTCCAGGCATGTCCCACTGGGAGGAGGCCCAGGGGGAGACCAGGACACGCTGGAGGGACTATGTTTCTCAGCTGGCCTGGGAGCGCCTTGGGATTCCCCCGGAAGGCCAAGTGGCTGGGGAGAGGGACGTCTGGGCCTCCCTACTGAAGCTGCTACCCCCGCGACCCG